GCCTGTTCTGTTCCCCATTCTGTCTCTGGTGAATCCTCTCATCCCCAGGCCTCTGGCCTGCACCCCAGCTCTTGTATGCATAAATAAATAAATCTTTTAAAAAAATAAAAATAAAGCATGGAGAGATTTAAAACACATGAAAGTTTTCAACATATGAAAGTTCCTTTAATAAAGTTGCTCAATAAATTCATGTCTTTGCAAAGAGCTCATAGATAATGCAAATGTTAAACATTTCTTCCTTATATCAAGTAAAAATTCACCTTTCTATGAGCACCACTAGGACCCTGTTTCTAGTCCCTTACCCTATCACCTCACACACACACACATTCACAAACTGATTGCACACTTTCCTCTCACAAGAACTAGGGGTCCTGATGTCCCACACTTTCCAGCCCTTCACTTCCCTCTGAGGTTCTCTTCTCCTGGGGAATCTTCCTGACGAGCAACTACAAAAGAGAACCAGGGGTGCCAAACTACAGCCCAGAGACCAAAGTTGAGCACTGCCAATGTCTGCAAACTATGCACGTGTTCTACGTTTTTAAATGGTTGGGGAAAAAATATCACAATGACAATTATAAAATTTATGGATCATATGTGGACAAGTAAGTTACATCGACACAGTCATGCTCATTTTTTACATATCATCTATGGATGTTTCCATGCTACAAAAGCAGAGCTGAGAAACTGCAACAAACACTGCCTGGTCCAAAATGTCCATAATATTTACTCTCTGGCCCTTTACAGAAAATGTCTGCTGACCCCCTTGTTTAGGAGAACACTCAAGAGCATTTTTCACCTGGGATATCTTTACCATCAATCCTCTCTTCCTTCTGTGGCAACATCAGTCTCTATGCAAAATTACTCTTCAATTAGCAAATTCCACCTCCTCAGCATCCCACAATCTCAGTCACATCTTGAAAGAGCTCATTCCTCTGATGAAGCATGACAACCTGGCCCAAGTCAGGCATCCAGAGAAAACATAGTCAAATAATGGATAGTGACTCTACAGAAATTCTTAGAAGAAAACATATAACCTAATCAGAGTTAATTTGGATGCGCAGAACTGTGTGATTTATCAGTTGCCAATGGTTGATACCAATCCTTCTCAAATCATGATGATCACAGTGCACAAGTCTGAAGTCTAGGTAACATCACTCAGCTTCAGTGAATTTCTGCAATATCTTCACAGGGGACGGAGGGCAGGTCAAGTTCCATAGGGATAAGTAGAAAGTTGCTCACTGACACTTTTATTCAGGTGAACTCAAGTCCTTTTAAGTGAAGCTGTTCAGAGAGGGCAGACCCCAATCCTAGGAAAAGTAGAAGCCACTAATAAAGTCCATTCTCTATACTCAAGGAATTCATAGTCTAGAAATGATATAGGCATGCAGACAAATATACACGTGTGTGCATGCATGTGTGTGTATGAAAGTATATATACAAAACACTTAACAGTAGCTATTACTGGGTAGTAGGCTTATAGATATTTTCTTTTGACTTACTTTGTTTATTTTCCCTAGGTTTTATGTAAAACATGAATGACTGAAACACAATTTGAAAAGATTGTAATAGTGCCATGATATCACAATAAACTTACTAAACAGCCCATAATTATAACTCCTTTTTAGTAATGCAATAAAGACTTCCTATAGGTTTCTAAGGTAGGTTTGAAAAATGATTAGGAGTTTGCTAGGCAAATAAAGAGGAAAGACACAAGAAAAGTTATGAAGTGATACTGTATATTCAGGAAAGGTTAGTTAACTACTGCTAGAATATAAAGAACAGTAGGAAGAATGCAGATGGAACTTGAGCAAACTCAGATAATGAAGAACCTTGGATACATTGCTAAATAGCATCTATTTCCTCATAAGGTTCTACAGGGCTTAAAATTAAAGCTACGTTGCCTACTAAGATCTGGCACTTAGGAAGAGATACACAGGGCATGTGCAGCCATTTTCCATTTCTAGAGGTAATTATATCATGAGAGGCATCTTAGCTGGATTCCTGTAGATGAAAATAGCTTAAAATGGGAATTTGACCAGATGATCTTACAAACATCAAATTCCACCATTTTGTGACATTTGTACCCTGATATCCCTGCACATACTCCATTCAATTTCAGTTAAAGTTCATATCATTTATCAGTGCATTATGCTACTACATTGAATATGCAGATCATTCTATAGGCTCCAGAAAAGCTGGCAGGTGGTGCTGATACTAGCCCAGATTTAGGAATTGCTAATGCAATCTCAGATGATCCAGTAGGGGAAGCAAATAGTTGGGAGGTAGAGAGGGAGGTGGAGCTAGGCTTGTTTGGGAGTGAATTAGGACATCTGAAAGAGGGCAGCTCCTCCCTAAGATGGACCATTATCCCCTCTTTAAAAAGGCCACATCCCCATCAGCAGCACCCTGGAAACTGCTTTAGCCTACCTCCTGCTTGTTCCTCTGGCCAACTAGGTAAGTGAGTAGGACTTCAGACTTATGAATTACGAGGTAAGGAGGCATCACCCTGGTACACTCTTGTGCTTGTATCTTCCCATGCCTCTTAACCTCAGATCCCTCAGGAAGTTTATTAATGTCAACAAGTTTTTTAAGTGTTTTACATTATCAAATTGTCTGCCATATGAATGTCCAATATTTATTTTTATAGTTCTTACTTTGCTCTACATAATTCTCTCCAATTCCTGATTTTGTTAAAGATGGCTTCGTTTCAACCTTTCTTCTGTCTAGGTAATTGCCCGTGACTGGATATATTCATCTCCTTGATCCAGTCATGCCTACATGGACTTTTAGGCTGCTCCCATGTCCTAAATATTAAAAATAATGCTATGACGGGCCTCCCCGGTGGCGCAGCAGTTGAGCGCTGGGTTGCGAAGCTGCCCACAGCCTCTGCAGCGCCGGTTCGATCCCTGGCTGCTCCCCGGCCACCAGAGGAGGGTCCCACATGGCGCGCAGACCTCTCCTGCTGCCCGCTGCTCCCCTCAGCAGTGTACTTCAGTCCTTCTGCCAGCTCTGCTCCCTGCCCTGGCTCTGGTGAATTCTCTCACCCTCCCGCACTTCTGACTGTACCCAATGCTTGTATAAATAATAAATATTTAAATAAATAATTAAAAAATAATAATGCTATGACCATGGTGAAGTACATAGGGGGCTTTGCTGATAGTTTCATAGTCCATGAATGTATTATCAATAGTAGGATTATGGGCCATTGGCACTGCCATTTTTAGATTTGAAGCTAAATCTAGATAGCTTTCCATAATGTTTTCACCAGTTCACATTCCCACCAACAGTTTAAAACTGTTCTCTCTCTCCACATCCAGTCCAGTACTTGTTTGCTGGGGGTCTGTTGAATATGTTCCATTCTCACAGGTGTGAGATGGTATCTCATAGTATTAATCTGAATAATTCTTATTAGATATGATGAGAAACCTTTCTTCATGTATCTTTTATCCTTCTGGATATTCTCTTCAGAGAAAAGTCCATTCATTTCTGCTAATTCTTAATGGGGTTTGTAATTTTGTTGTTGAATTGCATGTTTCTTCTTATCTTTAGTACTCCCTTATCAGCTATATGTTTGTGTGAATACTTGTAAAGGCAGAAATGGACACAGTGCAGGTTTTCTGATCCCATGCAGACCGGGTAAAGGAAGAGTCAGAGTCCTCAGTGGTTTTGCAGGTTTTTATTGGGGTTCAGCGGGTACGTGGCAGGCAGGGGGGCTGGGAGGCTGGCAGTCCTCCCAGCCCCCAGCAAATCTTCACTCTATCTGGGCTCTCTGGCGTTCTCTGCTTCTGCTTCGGGCTTCTCTTTCAGCTTCTGCTGCTGGTGTCCTCCACGTGACGCCGCCCTTAAAAAGCAGTCTTAGCGCAAGTGTACCCACTTCAGGTGCCCACCATCAGGCATGCATCCAGGATCACAGGGTTCCCTCATCTATCCTGATGGCAGGAGGGCAGAAAAGCCTGATTTTTTACCTTACCCTACAAAACCTTATCTCATTCACGTGGGTGTTTTTAATTGTCTTGTATTTTCTTTCCCTGGAAAGAAGTTTTTTAATTTGAGGTAGTCCCAATTGTTTGTTTTGTTTTTAACTCCTTCAGGAATTAATTCACCAAATATATCTTCATTACTGATATCATGTAACACATCACCAATGATTCATACTTCTTGTTGCAGGCCTTATATCTCTAACCTATTTGGAGTTTATTTTTGCATGTGGTATCAACGAATAATCCAACTTCATACTTTCATGTGTGGTTTTCAATGATCCAATCACCATTTCTTAAAGAGACTGTCATTTGGGGACCATTTTCTTAAAAATCCCAGAGCTATACCCACCAGACATGTTGGCTTCTTCAGTCTTGAGCTTCTCTCTGTTGTGTAGTCAGAAAAGCCTGAGGTTCAGTTCCTCCTTGGAGAATGAAAACAGACTGAGCCTGACAGAATGTACCCCAAGCTCCTTATCATTGAGACATGTGGTTGTCTTTTGCTCGTTTGTTTCTTTCTTTGACCTACAAGACTTAAGGGTCCAGCTTAGACACTGATATCTCATAGCCGGACTCAGGCTCACCATGGAGATGCTAGCCATGCCCTCTATAGTGGGATGGTTGGGACCCAGAGAGAAACTAAATAAATGGATAAATTAGTAAGCCCACAATTTCTAAAGCTCCAGAACAAAAACTTCATAGAGTAACCCTGGTAGAAGCAAAAAGTCCAAAACAGAAAGTTAGAGCTCCACATTAATTCATGAGTGGAAATAAACAATGCACACTCTGTTCCTAATTTCATCACTTTCTTGCCACATGGCTTAAACAAGTCATTCATCTCTGAATTAGTTCCCATTACAACAAGATATAATTAACCTGGCCTAGTTGATTCTAAACAATTATTACAAAAGATAGGAATGATTTATATATGGAAAAATGTAATAAGAGATAGGTTATCTCTTTCCCCTCATTTCTCCATAGGTCAATTAAATTTACAAAAAGATGCCTAAACTACTACAAAGCATGGTCACTATCATCGATGTCTTCTATGAATATGCCAGCCAAGATAAGGAGTGTGACATGTTAAAGAAGGAAGAAATGAAGGTACTTTTGGAAAATGAGTTTCATCAAATTCTGAAGGTAATAACACCATGTCAGGACTGAAGACAGCTGCAATTTCCCACTTCTTACCTTCTGGTCACATAAAAATCTCCCAGAAAATTCTCTCTACTTATTGATCAAGAACAGGGCATGAAATAAGGTCAGATGTTCACCTGTAAGGTTTCTATAACATGACCAAGGGAAGAGATCCTTGTAATCACCAGCTGAGATCCAAAGATTAAATAATACCCATTTATGTGAGTGATTCCTATAAACTGAAACTGAAATGGTCCTCAGAAAAAACTGCAAGTGAAATGCACCTTGTTCTCTTCCTTTTGTCTTTCTTCAACACAGACTATCCACCACTACCCATTTCTGAGATTCTGGTACTATAAGATGCTAATTTCTTTATTCTGGTACTGTAAGATAATAAGGAAATTAGCATCTTCCTTCTAAATCATAAAGCAATCAGACTACCACCTTTAAAATGTCGGTTCATAAAATAATAATTTGGGAACCTAGGTCTAGCTTTCTATCTTCAATTTGTAAATACAGCTGCCTGGTGAATATTTTTTTTAGGTTCCTATGGGTGTCTTAAAAAGTCAGCATGTCAGATACAAAAATCATGATCTTCCCCTCTGAACTCATTACTGTTACTTGCCAAATCACCTCCTTTCTTCCTCTCATAAAGCACCTCCAATTTCCATCTAACTCATCAATAATCTCAAAAAATGTGAATTTCACTCCATCATTATTGCTAGTCCTCTGGTTCAGGTCAACTCCTTCTTCCAATCTCAGCATTAGATATAAATACAATCATTTCACAACTCAAATAAAAATCTTTCAACAGCTCCCAGCTCTTTCAAGAAAAATTCCAAGTTCCTTTGCAAGACTTAAAAGGCATGATCTGCACCCTATTTCTCTCTGCTGAGATTGAATGTAGCAATCCTGAATTTCTTTCACTTCCTGCATGAGCCTTCTCTCACTGCCAGCTCTTTGTGTTACATCTTCCCTCTCCCTGAACAATCTTTTGCACCCATCCCTCCTCTCCTTTACTTTTTCCTTTGGCTAATTCCAACCCATCCTTCAAAAAAAATATCACTTCCTCTCAAACTTTCATTGCACACCAGTGATTCTCATCTTGTGTACTCTCAGATAACCATTAAAATACCTTGTAATTAAGTTTGTTCACTGGTCCACTAAGCTTTAAATTCCATTTTGTCAGAAATCAAACTGTTCAATGTGTTATCATCTGTACCTAACTCAATATTAGGTAATTAAAGTCCACAATAAATCTTTGTTGCGTTACTTAGTTATTTGAACTAGTCAAATGAAGGTTATATGTACTTCACCCGGGCATTCAAAATTGTTTACGAATTATGTAATCATTCATATTTGACTTAGTCCTTACAAAAATAATTCTTTTTCCCTGCCATCTTCCAGTTACAACTTCTAGCCATTTCTCATGGCATCATTCATTGAATATTTCTTTCCCTCATTCTGGACAGGATAGGTAAATCCAGCCTAAATGTACTTGTGGTTAAGGTCTACCTAACTAAGCAAGCACTCCCATTTGTACAGCCTTCTTTCAACTGGCTAGCTAAATGAACTCCATACTGACAGAACTGCCCTTGGTATCTTGTTCCCAAACAGAATCAAGATGATCCAGACACTGTAGGCATCATCATGCAAAACCTGGATCGAGACCATAACAACAAAGTGGATTTTACTGAGTATCTTCTGATGATATTCAAGCTGGCACAGGCTTGTAATAAAATCATCAGCAAAGATTACTGCCAAGCGTCAGGGTCAAAGCAGAGAGACCACAGTCACTGGCACCAAGAGGAACAGAGTGAAACAGAAGATGAGGACAAAAGAAAAGGAAGGTCTTCCACTTACTCAAGTTGTAATGCAGGAGAGAGCGATTCCTATTCCAGGGGTCCCAGAGGGATCACTAAACACAGGCCTGGATCCAGATGTGGAAGAAAGGAGAATCAAAGGGGCCGGTCTAGTTCTGGGCACAGGCAAAGCTCTGGGGAAAGGAGAGAGTCAAGCTCAGGACACCTCAAGAACAACAAGAAAAACAAACATGGCTCTCATCAGCAAGAGTCTGAGAGTGAAGAAGTTGGTTATACTCATTCAAGCAACTGTAGCAAAAGATCAAACTCAGCAAATCAGTCAGAGAGCACTGCAGAATTAAGAAATATATACTACTCAGAAAGTGAGTCCTATAGCCCTGACCAAAACTCATCTGATTCAAATGAATCCTTAGGGAATAGACAATCTAAGAAGAAATCGAGCCAGTCACCTCATAAGCTACTTCATGAAATCAGCTCAGGGAGTTGTGATGGTCTAGACCATTGGTCAGCTCCAAATGAAACTACTGGCTGTGGTCACGGGTATGACTTGTGTCAGTCCTCTCAACAGAGATGGCAAAAAACAAATACAGGGTCTCAATCAGGAAAATGTGAGGAACAAGGATACTGTTCTAGTTCTAGTGACAGTTATGGAAAGTCACTGCACAAGTCATGCACAAGTCACTCCCCTAGTCAAGATAGATGTCAGTCATCTGGCTGTGGCCAAACCACGTCAAGCTCAGGCCAATCATCTTGTTTAGGAAAACATGGGTATGGTTCAGGCCAGTCTGCTAATTATGGTCAATTTGATTCTACATCAAGACAGTCATCAACCTGTGACCAACATCGATCTTGCTCTGATCAGTCTTCGCATTATGGTCAACATGGATCAAGTCAGCCATGCAGCCACAGACAAAATCTCTCTGGCTCAGGTCAGTCCTCTAGTTGTGATCTACAAAGATCTGGATTAGGTCAGTCTTTTAACAACAGACAACATGGATCTTCAGGTCAGTCCTCTTGGTGTGGACAACATCAGTATAGATCCGGTCACTCTTCTAGCTGTGGCCAATATGGATCTAACTCTGGTCAGATATCCAGCGGTGGTCAACATGGATCAGGCTCAGGCCAGTCTTCTAGTTGCAGTCACCATGGATCTGGCTCTGGTCTGTCTTCTAGCTGTGGCCAATATGGGCCTGGATCAAGCCAATCTTCTGGTTATGAAAAGCCTGGTTCCACTTCAGGACAGTCATCTACCTGTGCCCAGAGTGAATCTAGCTATGGACAGTCCTCTGGTTATGGTCAATACGGATCAAGTCGATCTTCAAACCACAGACGACATGGTTCAGGTTCAGGTCAGTCTTCTCGCTGTGGCCAACAGAGACCTACTTCTGGTCAGTCTTCTGGCAATGCTCAACATGGGTCAAGTCAGTCTTGTAGCCACAGACAACACGATTCTGGTTCAGGTCAGTCTTCTACCTGTGGTCAACAGGGATCTAGCTCAGGTCAGTCTTCTAGCTGTCATCAATACGGTTCTGGATCAGGTCAGTCCTCTAGCTGTGGCCAGCATGGACATGGATCAGGTCAGTCCTCTAACTGTGGCCAATATGGATCTGGATCAGCCCAATCTTCTACTTTTGGGAAACCTGGTTCTGCTTCAGGACAGTCATCTACCTGTGGCCAACGTGGATCAAGCTATGGACAGTCCTCTGGTTATGGTCAACATGGGTCAAGTCAATCTTCAAGGTACAGGCGACAGGGGTCAGGGTCCACTCAGTCTTCTAGCTGTGGTCAATATGGACCTAGCTCGGGTCAGTCTTTTGGCTATGGTCAACATAGGTCAAGTCAGTCTTGTAGCCATAGACAACATGGTCCTGAGTCTGGATCTGGTCACTCCTCTGGTGGTGATCAATATGGGTCTGGAGCTGGACAGTCATCTAGGTATCAGCAAACTGGTTCTACTTCAAGACAGACATCAAGCGGTGGCCAGCATAGACCTAACTCGGGTCAGTTTTCTGGTTACGGTCAACAAGGATCAGGTCAGTCTTCTATCTGTGGCCAATATGGGTCTGGAACAGGACAGTCATTTAGCTGTGGTCCACAAAGCTCTGGCTCAGGTCAGTCTTCCAGTTGTAGCCAGTATGTGTCTGGATCAGGACAGTCTTCTACTTATGGGCAACCTGGATCTAGTTCAGGACAAGCATCAAGCTGTGGTAAACATGGATCTAGCTCTGGTCAGTCTTTTGGCTATGGTCAACATGGATCAAGTCAGTCTTGTAGACACAGACAATATGGCTCTGACTCAGGTCTGTCTTCTAGCTGTGGTCAACATAGATCTGGCTCAGGTCAGTTCTCTAGCTGTAGCCAACATAGATCTGGCTCAGGTAAATCATCTAGCTGTGGCCAATATGGGCCTGTTTCAAGTCAGTCTTCCAGCTGTTGTCACAATGGACCTAGTTCTGGTTGGTCCTCAGGTTATGGTCAGCATGGGTCTAGTCAGTATCATAGCCATAGACAATGTGACTCTGGCTTAGATCAGTCTTCTAACTGTGGTCAACATGGATATGGAACAGGTCAGTCTTCTAGCTGTCATCAATATAGCTCAGGATCAGGTCAGTCCTCTAGCTATTGTCAACATGGCTCAGTCTCAGGTCAGACTTCTAGTTGTGGGCAATATGAGTCTGGGTCAGGCCAGTCATCTACTTATGAGCAATGTGTACCTACTTCAAGAGAGTCATCTAGCTGTGGCCAACATAGATATGGATCAGGTCAGTCCTCTAACTGTGGCCAATATGGATCTGGATCAGGCCAGTCTTCTACTTATGGGCAACCTGGTTCTTCATCAAGCTGTAGCCAACATGGATGTAGCTATGGGCAGTCCTCTGGTTATGGTCAACATGGGTCAAGTCGATCTTCAAGCCACGGGAGACATAGTTCAGGTTCAGGTCAGTCTTCTACTTGTGGTCAATATGATGCAAGCTCTGGTCAGTCTTCACGCTATGGTCAACATGGGTCAAGTCAGTCATGTAGCCATAGTCAACAGGGATCTGGGTCAGGTCATTCCTCTACCTGTAGTTACCATGGTTCTGGATCTGGTCATTCCATTGACTGTGATCAATATGGGTCTGGATCAGGACAGTCTTCTAGGTATCGGCAAACTGGTTCTACTTCAACACAGTCATCAAGCTGTGGCCAGAATGGTTCTAGGCCTGGTCAGTTTTCTGGTTATGGTCAACAGGGATCAGGTCAGTCTTCCGGCTGTGACCAATATGGGTCTGGATCAGGCCAGTCTTCTAGGTATGGGCAAACTGTTTCTACTTCAGGACAGTCCTCAAGCTGTGGCCAAAATAGATCAAGCTCTGGTCAGTCTTCTGAGTGTACTCCATGTAGGTCTGGTCAGTCTTATAGACATAGACAACATGGCTCTGGCTCAGGTCAGTACTCTAGCTGTAGTCAACATGGATCTGGGTCAAATCAGTCTTCTAGCTGTGGACAACATATACCAGGCTCTAGTATGTCTTCTAGTTGTGGCCAATATGGGCCTGAATCAGGCCAATCATCTAATTATGGACATGGTTCTATTTCAGGACAGTCATCAAGCTGTGGTCAACATGGATCTAGCTCTGGTCAGTCTCCTAGCTATGGGCAACATAGTTCAAGTCATTCCTGTAGCCGTAGACATTATAGCTCTGGTTCAAGTCAGTCATCTGGCAATGGACACCATGGACCTGGCTCAGGTCAGTCTTCTACCTGTGGTCAATATCCATCTGGGTCAGGCCAGTCTTCTAGTTATGGACAACATGGTTCTACTTCAGGACACTCATCAAGCTGTGGCCAACAAGGCTCTAGCTCTGGTCAGTCTTCTAGCCATAGAAAACATGGCTCTGTCTCTGGTCACTCTTCAAGCAATGGCCAATATGGTTCTGGATCAGGTCAGTCTTCTAGCTATGGGCAACATGAATCTAACTATGGACAGTCATCTGGCTATGGACAATGTGGGTCTGCTCAATCTTTTAGTCACAGACAACAAAGCTCTGGTTCAGGTCAGTCCTCTAGCTCTGGCCAACATGGGTCTGGCTCAGGTCAGTGTTCTAGCTCTGGCCAACATGGATCCAGCTCTGGTCAGTATTCTGGCTATGGACAACATGGGTCAAGCCAGTCTTCTAGACAAAAACAACATGGTTCTGCCCGCAGTCAGTCCTCTAGCTCGGGCCAATATGGGTCTGGATTAGACCAGTCTTCTAGGTCTACTTCAGGACAGTCATCAAACTATGGCCAACATGGATTTAGCTCAGGTCAGTCTGGTTATGGTCAGCATGGCTCAAGTCAGTCTTCCAGCCATCGACAGCATAGCTCTGGTTCAGGTCAGTGCTCAAGTTGTGGCCACTATGGGTCCGGATCCGGTCAGTCCTCCAGCTCTGGACAACATGGATCTAGCTCAGGTCAGTCTACTTATGGTCAACATGGCTCTGGTCAGTCTTGTAGCCACAGCCAATATGGGTCTGGCTCATTTCAGTCTTCCAGCTGTGGCCAACAGGGATCAGACTCAGCTCCATCCTCTACCTATGATCAACACTGGTCCAGTTCAAGCCATTCTTCTAGCCATAGCCAACCTAGTTCTGGCTCTGAAAGATATGGGGCTGATTCACGTCACTCCTCCACCTCTAGTCAACATGGCTCCAGATCTCATCAGTATTCTGGCTCTGACCAGTATGGATCTGGCTCATGTCGTTCATCTTGCTCTGAACAAGATGGTTATGGATCTGGTCAATCTTCCACCTATGAGAAACAAGAATTGCAAGGGAGATGTAGGTCAAGTTCAAGTGGAGCTCATGATGAATACAGTAGACCCAGAAGGGGCTCAACCCCCAATCAATCAAGGAGAAGTAGCCAGGAGTGGTCAGGGTACAGTCAAAATGAAAGAAGTGGCACTGACAGCCTTTCAGGTAGTGAGTCTGATGGATGTGAGAGTACCAATAGACCGTCAAGAACATGGAGTCAAGGAAGTCAAGGAAGCAGTCAGGGTCAGTGGGAATCTGGCTATAGCCAGTCAGAGAGTAATCAGGTAGGGCAATCAAGAAGGGGTTCCACACAAGTGGGAAGCTCCTCGGGTTGTGGCTCTGGAGAATTCACACTCTCCTCTGGACAGTCTACAACCAACACTATCAATACACTGTTAGTTCACAAGGAAGATAATTTACAAGATGGCTACAGTTATCAGAGTGGAGGAGGTAACTATGGAGGGGGAAGTATCAGTTCCAGTTCCCAAGACTTCTACAGTAGCACGCCACTCTATGAATATGTCCAAGAGCAGAGGGGCTAGACTGAGAGATGAACAGTAAAGAGAAGTGGAATTAACTCAAGTAGCAATGTAAGTAATGTAACACAAGCAATGTAGACAAGGCAATTCATTAGAAAACTTCTTTCTAAAAGTACATATATCTGATCTGTTTCCTTTTCTTTTAAACATGTAACTGTATACTCCATCTTTATTATCAGGGTCTTCCAAAGAATGTAGGGGTGTGGGATACTTTGTCAGAAAATACTGAATTGGACAGTGTGAGGGACTAAATTTGGAAGAATAACACAAAAGCATTTAAGAAGCTTGGGGTTTAGTTACAGTCTTTTTGAAAGTTCACTGCTCATTACTGATGTCAAACCTAAGCTTTCATCTATAAAGGACAAAAAATTATCATTTCATTACCAGTTCTGGAGACAAAGCTTCACTTATAGCTATTGGACCAAATAATTTCAGGAGTGAGGGCACATTTCGATGATGGTAGAACAAACAAGACCTAAAAGCACAGATACAGCAGTTGGTTTGCTTAGTAAAACCGCCAAATGCCTACCCTTGGGTTTATCTTTAAACAGTAACCTAGCAAGAGGTATCAAAAAGTGACATGCAGTGCCTAGCCAGTGAGCAACAGCATTATTTCTTAAAGAGCAGGCATGGATCAGTTCAGGGTCCAAATGTGGGCACTGATTTGGATATAAAAAAGGAAGAATTCAGCCCCTACTCCTAAGAATTTCTTTCAGGTAACAAACTTTGGAAGCGCAACAGCATGCAAACACAATGGCTTCAATCTACTTCTGTAGTTCATTGGCCTTTGCACCAACAGGAAATACCCTTTGTGCCCAAATGGAAGAGAATAGTGTCTGTCACTGCCTATAGTCCCTTGGTTTGATTGTACATACCTGTTTCACATCTTTGGATCAAAAATCACTGGACTGCATTAAAATTGGCAATAAATAATGGTGATGAAATAGTTTTGTCTCCTCTCACTTCATTTCACTTCTCACCAAGTGGTGAGACAAGAAACCATCTCAAATAAATCACAAAGTTCCAAGTTCCTGCCCTTCACAAGCAACCCAGGATTTATAAGTAGTTTTTAAATCAATAAAACAACTCAACTTCAAAATCATCAGAAGATTTGACTGGATGTTTGACCAAAAAGAAAGACAGACAAACAGATAATAATCACAGGAAAATAACTCAAAGTCCAGTTATCAGAGAATTACAAGTTAAACATTTTAAAACATAAGATACTACCATGTACCCATTAGAATGACCAAAATTAAAAATACTGGCAACACCAACACTTGGTAATGCCAGTGGAAAAATAAAATGATACAGTTACTTTGGAAAACAGTGTACCATTTCTTATAAAGCTACATATACTTGACTATAAGATCCAACAATTCTACTCCTCGATGAAATGAAAACATTTGCCCACATGAAGATTTTCACATAAATGTTCATAGCAGCTTTAATAATATTCCCAAACTACAAACAACCCAAATGTCCACCAATGAATAAACACATATACAATGCAATACAATTTAGCAAACAAAAAAATTAGCTTCTGCTAAACATGAAATGGATGAGCCTCAGAAACATTACATTGAACATAAGAAGTCAAATCCAAGAGTATGATTCTATTTAGTGAAACTTTAATTAAAGAACAATATAAAAATTAAAAGGAGATCAATGGTTGACTAGGGCTGGGAGTAGGATTTATGAATTGGATATAAAATGGAAAACAAATAAGGTGATGACATTATTCTACATAGAATAACACAGAAATATGTTTTTGTCAGGCCTCCATAGTGACCTAGGGGTTAAGTCTCAGTGCTTTCACCCCTATGGCCTGACTTCGATCCCCAGCCAGGAAGCTAACCTACATGTAGAGCAGCAGACCTCTACTGTCTCATCTGCTGCTCCGCTTGGCGGTGTATTTCAGTAGATCCAACTCTTCTGCTCCCCAATCTGTCTGGTAAACCCTCTCAACCCTGTACCTCTGGCCTAAACCCCAATCTATGACAAAAAAAAAAAAAGAAAAAGAAAAGGAAAGAAGTTTTTGTCAATGCTCACAGAATTGTATATTTGAAATGTGTTAAAAAGTTGCCTTTATAGTTTTCATGTAGATTTTTGAAACCTGACACACAAATTCTGAAACTTTATATAGAAGGGCATGGGTCAAAAATGGCTGGGATAATTTTTAAGCTAAAGCTGTCATCTTATCAGATGTCAAAATAATTAAAAGTTAAATCATTTAAGATAGTGTAACTCTGATGTAAGGACAGACATGCAGAAAACTTCCAGGAACAAACCAAGGAATATCTGATACAAGCATTAATGGGTCTGCATATTTGGGGGAGAAAAAACTTTCAATTAATATTACCAAAGTACTTTTTTAATTATATAACCATTTCATACCACATACAAAATCAATTTTCCAAGAAAGTTAAAATTGAAAGTGGAATCAGTCAACTTTGTATCTTTAAAGAAAACATAGAATACCTTTATGACTTCAAAGTAAGAAATATATGACATTCGGGCATGTGGGGGATTTTGAGCTAAAGGTATTCAAGGCCTAGAAGACTCAGGAAGAATTTTTGTTTCCTCTCCCTTAACTGTGTGACAGAACTCTGGTAGGGAACCTGTATCAGGAAGAGGGCTATATCCACAGATAATTTTTTATGTTGGGAAGACTTGTAACATGGCAGGGCTAACATTTCTTCTCCACACATTGGTTCACCTCATCTTCCTATAAATTATTTTCTTCCCCTTTGCACTTGAATCTCATTACCTGCTTTTCCCTACCTCAGGATGGTATAGAAGCCTCAACAGCTTGACTGCCAGTGGGTCTTGCATTTTATGGCGCTCCTGTTCCTACAAAATTAAGTTTTTCTTTTGTTTTTTTTTGTTTTGTTTTGTTTTTTTAAAAGATTGATTGATTGATTGATTTGTTTGTTTATTTATTTATTTATACAAGCACTGGGTACAGTCAGAAGCACGGGAGGGTGAGAGAATTCACCAGAGCCAGAGCGGGGAGCAGAGCAGGCAGAAGGACCGAAGTACACTGCTGAGGGGAGCAGCGGGCGGCAGGAGAGGTCTGCGCGCCATGTGGGACCCTCCTCTGGTGGCCGGGGAGCAGCCGGGGATCGAACCGGTGCTGCAGAGGCTGCGGGCAGCTTCGCAACCCAGCGCTCAACCGCTGCGCCACCGGGGAGGCCCAAGTTTTTCTTTTGTTTATCTATCTTATGTTGATTTAATTATTAGACCAAAGCACCTAGAAGAAAATTGTTTTCCTCCCCTACAACGTATATAGCTAAATACGCACAAGTCGCCAAATAGAATGCTAAGTGAAAAAGTTTAAAACATGTATATAGTGGTGTGACACCATTAATATAGTCTTACAATATACACAATAATGTCATATATGGTTTGTAGTGAGTATGTATTTGGTAAATGCAAAAACAAATCTCTATGGGAATGTGAAATACCAAATTCAGCATAGTGGTAGCTCTGGCCTTTAATTAAAAAGGCCAAAATGTTTCTTAAAACAAGATGATGTTGGACCTCCCTGGTGGTGCAGCAGTTGAGCGCTGGGCTGCGAAACTGCCTGCAGCCTCTGCAGCGCCGGTTCGATCCCCGTCCTCTGGCGAGGGACCCACATGGCACGCAGACCTCTCCTGCCACCCGCTGCTCCCCTCAGCAGTATGTTTCATTGGTCTGCCTGTTCTGTTCCCCGCTCTGGCTCTGGTGAATTCTCTCACCCTCCCGCACTTCTGACTGTACCCAGTGCTTGTATAAATAAATAAATCTTTAAAAAAAAAAAGATGATGTTTCATATATTTTTCCTTACACTTACTTGCAAAGCTCAAATTACTGCACGAGAAATAGGATCACACAAAGATCATCAATACCCAATGACTCAAATGCTTAAGG